GAAATTGTGAAGGTTTCATGGTGGGTTTTCTACACAGTCCCAGAATCACTCACCTTAACTATACCTTATTTCTGTCGTTTTCTTATGATACCCTTCTTAGGGGAGACGTATAATAATTACCAAATCTTTACTAAATGCTGGTTGTATGCTAGGAACTGTGCCAGGCTGAAAGGACATAAAAGATGACCAAAACTCAGTCCCTATTGTAGGGTTATTCATATCTAGGGGAAAGACAGATATGTAAACAATTGGTTGCAATGGAAGGTGATTAGCATTATTACAGAAGAATGCGAAAATGCTGAGTGCACAAGTAAGGTAAAGATAGCCTGCATAGACAATAAGGAGTACTTATGGGGATAGCATTCTAAGAAGAAAGGGCACATCTCCAGAGACTGAAAACAGAGGCCTGGAGCATAATGTATGGAGGAAGAGTTAATAGGTAAGTTAAATAATGCCATAGATGATCTTGTATGCTATGACAAGGATTTGGATTTTCTCCTCTGGGACAGTAGCTCTCTGTCGTTAGAGTGCATAACAACTACTCAGCAAACTTTTAAAATGCAGATTCCTGGGCCTTACCACCAGTGATTCTGAGTCAATTGACCTGGATCCAAGGATTGTAATTTTAACAAGGACTCCTGGTGATTGTGATGAAGGTGGATAGTGAATCATACTTTTGAAAACTGCTAGAAGAGGTTGGCAACTTTTGAAGCAATGCAAGTAGTCCAGGCATTGGTGGAATTGCCTGAACTTAGGCAAGAGAGGGTTGGAGGAGCAGAACCCATGGATGTCACAAGGAAAGCAGTTACAGATGGAAGCTTTAAGCAGAATGCCTAGCATGCAGTTGTTGTTTAATATGTTACAATTGAAGCTGACTTTTCTTCAGTGTCATTGCTGTCTATAATTAGTTGTGAAAGGAAAAATACATGAAGAAATTTAGTACTACCTGAATTTGAGTAATGTTGGGGTTGGAATTTTTAAAGGATGGCACTCTCGGCACATGTCCCACTTCTAGGGCCAGTCCTTATCAGCACATACAGAGTTCACCTTCCCTGGCTATCCCTCACCTCACTAATCCCAGCAAATGGGCTTGAATCTATGAAGCATTTTAGCTGGATCAGAAGCATGTAGATAGTTTTAGAGACTGTTTCCTAAAGAATTTTTCCTTCTGGCCGAGTGTAGTAACTCATGCCTATAATCCCAGCACTTTGGAAGGCTGAGGTGGGCAAATCACTTGAGGTCAAGAGTATGAGACCAGCCTGGCCAACACGGTGAAACCCTGTCTCTACTAAAAACACACACACACACAAATTAGCTGGGCATAGTGGCACATGCCTGTGATCCCAGTTACTCAAGAGGCTGAGGTGGAAGGATCACTTCAACCACAGAGGCAGAGGTTGCAGTGAGCCAAGATCGCGCCACTGCACTCCAGCCTGGGTGACAGAGCAAGACTCCATCTCAAAAATAATAATAATAATTTTTTAAAAAAAGAATTTATCCTTCTAAGCTCTGTAATCCTTACAAGGATTAGTGAGCTTAAATAGAACTTGGATAAATTTAACAAGAACCTGCCAAGTCTATGCTGCTTTTCCAGACTAAAGAGAATCTCTGGTTTACCGATTCCTGATTCAGACAAAATACAGAGTTCAAGAAAGACCTGTGGCAGGAGCAGGAGCGGGAGTGGGAGCGGGAGCTGAGACGGAATGCGGCTTCACACATACTGGCCTACAGTGGACTCTGGCCTGCTGCTGAGTTGTCCCCACCCTAGTCTGACCCAGTGATGATCAGGACTTTCACTATTTTCCTCTGGCAGATTCTCCTACTCAGCAGAAATGTGTAACTATTCCTGCAATCTGAGAGTGCAAAATGTTTTATTTTTAATGTTTGGTTGAAATATTTCAGAAAACACTTTGGTTGAAAGAAAACAGGCTATGAAATTGGTTTCTTGCCATGTACTAGTAAAGCCAAGTTTACCTTAAATCTTGGTCCTAGGTCCTCTTTACCCTTGAGCGTGAGGCATTTTGGCATAGCAGACAGAATACTGAGTGGGAATGAGATAATGTCACCTGAGTCCTAACCTGACTCTATCATTAACCTGCAATGTGAACTTGAGCAAGTCATTCCTCACCTCAGGGTCTTGACAGATTGGATTCTCTGAGAAACAGAATCTGAGACTCTGAGTTTTGCCTGCAGGCAGTTAATGTGGTACATTCTCAGAAACAATACTTATGAGGGGTGAAGGATACAAGACTGGACAGGGAGAATTTGAGCTGCAATAGAGTGGGCCCTTCAGAATCATCCACTTTGAGACAAAGAGGACAGCTTTTATATCTATCCCCTCTTCTACTACCTCAGCCACTGAATGTGAGCTATCCCCTGGCAGGGGTGTGGCTTGGGGAAAGGTGGCTCTCTTCTAAGCAGATCAGTTGTCAAAGATCTAGCTGCTTATATTCACGGCAACCTTAGTTCTGAAGACAGGATCTGGACAGCACACCATGGTGTCCACTACAGTTTGCTTAGTTTCAACCTTAATAATGTGATGGGGGGTGCAGATGTCTATATTCAGTTATCTATTGCCATAACAAGGCAAGGTAGCAAAGACCACAATCGTTAGTGGCACTTACAGTAAACATTCATTTAGTGACAAGTTTCTAGGATTCAGCTGATCTGAGCTGGGCTTGGTTAGGTTTGCTCATGTATCTGCAGTCAGCTATAAGTTAGGTAGGAGGTTCTGCTGATCTTGGCTGGGCTTGTACACATGTTGGGGTGTCAATGGGCTGTCAGCTGACCTGGAGTAGCCTTGGTTAAAATGAGAACAAGGTAACTTGGCTTGACTGATCCCCCAGCAAGCTGGTGTGGACATATTCTCATGGCAATGGCAGAAGTAAGAACAATCCCCAACCATATAGGCCCATTTCTAGCCTCTGCTATGTCATTGTGCTAATATCCCATTGGTCAAAGCAAGTGACATAGATGACCTCTGAATCAAGAGGCAGCACAGCTCAACCCATTTCCCATATGAAGAAACTGTAGTTATTAGGCAGAGTATAGGTATAGGGAGGGGGGATGAATTGGTTCTATATCAAAAATCTGCTGCAATCTCCAACTTCCTCCCATCTGAGCTGTTCAGTGGTTTTTGTTACTTTATCCATTAAGTAGATTATAATGGTCTAATTCTGGTTCTAAATAGGAGCTTGAACTCTGTCCGAGTTATTAATTTCTGAATCTACTACTCAGCACAGAACGAACTCTGAACATTGGTGATAAAGATTACATTGAATGAACAAAAGTAAGAATGAATGTACTTTGGGAATAAAAAATTGTAATTCCTAAGTATAAGGTAAAATCAGGTTTGTAAAGTCTCAGAAGCAGAACATTAGTTGTTAAGGACGTTTAGAAAAAGTAGTTTTTCAAAGATTTTTATTATTATTATTACTATCCGCAAAGTTAAATATGTTCCTCATTAAAATTTGAATAACATGTATGCAGAGTAAACAATAAAAGTTTTCACTTCACCTTTTCCTACGGACTTTTTCCTACCTGTATTTCCATATGAATATATCTTCTTTCATTTTTATTTCTTTACAACCAAGAATAAAGTCATACTATGCATTGTGTTTTGCAAGTTTGCTTTTTATACTCAACAATACATATTTTAAAACATGAATCTAATAATTGTAAATTAATTAAAATTTTTGCTAATAACGAAATACATTTGAAAAATAGTTTTTAATGCATGAGGCCTATAATTTTTTATGTTGCAGACAGTGCTTCTCTCATACAGGCTCTCAGCTCCTGTTCCTGTGGACCACCTCCATGAAGCACTGTTACAACTTTGGGAAGGAAAACAGATTCTTTCCCCTGTCATTTTGATTTGCTTTGGAGAAATAAGGCTGCTTGTTTATACACTTTCAAGAATCCTAATCAAATAAACAAAAGTAACAGTTAAATTATTATTGTCCCCTTTCATTAATGACGAGCAGTGTCTCTGGTACTCAAATTATAATGTCTTGTCTGCAAAACTGTGGTTGCTTTTCCTGTGGCATAGTACTGAAGTACGGTACTATTCACTTGGTAGTGATGTTGGTAATAGGGACAGGCTCTCATTGCCGATTTTCCTGTTACCACATATTTGCTAACTTCAATTTTTTCACATTTGTTTTTAATATAGGGGATTATTTTACAGATAAAATTTTTGGTAGGGTTGAGAGATATACTGTGACTTGAAAGGGAAGAAGTAAATAAAGCTCTTCTGTTCTTGAAAATGTTAAAATGCTTTCCTGACATACAAGTTGCCATGTAAAGCCACTGATATCTTGATTTTCATGCTTCCCATTAACCTAGTGACACCTTCAGGAACCATTCTGAATTATAAGGATTGACTTGGGGGGTTGATAATTGAAAAAAATATAGTGATTTAAAGTTTCCATAAATTGTCACATTTTGTTTGAAACTATACTCACTTACAAAATTTGCATTATGAACAGCTTGACTTCTTTTGGAGCCAAAATGAACCTGTGACTGGGTTTCAACAGAAACTCTATTTTTCTCTGTAGATAGTTCATGTTTACTGGGTCCCAAAGGTAATTCTATACTAAAAATGAGGAGACTCAGAATTACGTTTAATAGAAACAGAACTTAACAAAAGTGTCTGGATTAGTCTAGCTCCCTGTGAGTTAGGGTGAAGACTCACTCCCTGGGTGAGACGGCAGTCTTCTCCTAGGCATGACTCAGCAGTCTCCACTCTCACTTTGTTCCTGTTTGCTATGAATAGGATGAACAGAGATGGAGACTTGATCATCTATAGAAGAGTAGCTTTCAAAACTTTATTCATGTGTTTGTTTCTATGTTTATTAATTTACTCTGAACCCTTTTGCTCAAACACAGTGCGAATTGAATATATAAAACTAATGAAACCTGGTGTGATCAGCCCCAGAGCCTTCACCTATTGATTTCTGCCTTACTACACCCATATTTATTCACATTTTATTTGCCTTAAGATAATGAGAAACCCATGCGAGTGGTGGATGATGAAGACCTGGTAGACCAGCATCTCATCAGCGAGCTGAGGAAAGAGTACGGAATGACCTACAACGATTTCTTCATGGTGCTAACAGACGTGGATCTGAGAGTCAAGGTACAGTTTCTTATTTTGAATAATGTAGTGCTATTGCTTAGAATAGCAAATCTGAATTGTTTTGTTAAAGAGTCCATTCAAGGTATGAGTAAGCATAAATTATTTTATAAATGGGAGGGTTTTGAGATGGGCCAAATTTTCCATGTTATCCTATGAATTTGTATCCAAAAATGTGGTTTCTGGAAGAGACCGAGTTGGAGTGACTTCCCACAGCCCAGCTACTTGACTCAGACTAAATTCTTTTCTAACACCAATGTTGTACATTCATAAGACACTGATTAAATAGCTATGATGTGCCAGGTCCTGGAGATAAAAGGTGAAGAATGGTCTCTGCCTTCAGGAAACCCATATTTAATATAGGCGTATCTCAGAGGGATTGTTGCCTCCTGATCCATTGTGGACAAGACTTTGGGGTTTTACACCCACTTTCTTTCTATGCTTATGGACAAAGGTTCTAAACCATGAAAAACTATGCCATGTAATAATAATAATAATAACAAAAAGTTACTTTATCAAGTGCTTTCCTTATGCCTGGCACTGTGTTCAACCCTTTGCAATCCTTATCTCACATGTCTAAGATAAATGCTAGTATTATTTTTGTTTCACAAAGGAAAAAACAGAGGCCCAGAATGGTTAAGTAACTATACCAAGGTCATCATCCAGTGAGTGCTGACCTTCATTCCCACACAGGCTGGCTCCAGAACCCACTGTCTTAACAATCTGGCATACTGGCACTATATCACTGAAAATACCTCTTACTACAGTGTATCTCAATACCTCTCTAACGCATTCCCTAAACAATTTTTAAAACAACTTATCAAAATGTTCTTTTAAAATTCCAGGATTCTGAAACCATGTGAAATGGGGAACATAAAAACTGTTCATGAAAATGTCATCTATATACCATGCTTGTGTGAGAATCTTCGGGGTGAAAAAGGCTGTCTGTACTATTACAATAGCTGACACAACACGCAATATTTTTCTTGATCTGGAGAGACGGCATCATTACTTCATTCTGCACATGCGTTGCCCCACCTTTAATGAGAGAGTTGGAGCCAAATAATCTCTAAGGTCCTTACCAGCTCTTACATTCTGTGATTTACTGAATTCCCACTGAGGACAGAGCTTCAGGCCATGTCTAGGCTGCTCTCCAGCTTATGCCGATTATACTCAGCCAGCCCCTGAATCTAGCTCAGGTTGCTTTTATAAGTCCAGGCAGCTGTAATTCAGGAACCTGAATTTCACTGTCTTTCAGTTAGATCCCAACTTATTTCTTGTCTTTCTTTTTTGGATCCCAACTTATTTCTGAGAATATGTAAGGAAACGTGACTTAATATTAAGTGATGCTTACTCAGTAAAACAATCCCTGGGACCACAGAACAAACAGGCCTTGGTGGAAATTTACTCTTATTGCTCAGATTACACACTCGAACATGTCATTCCATTGAGTTTCCTGTGTTAGGAACAGTGTTTCTCACTTCTTCTCCAGTTGTATAGTAAATAGGAACCAGCTTAGTCTCAAAGGTAGAGGGGTGAACCTAGGACTTGCATGGTGAGGAAGGCATGGACCCTTTTCAATAAAAGGAGCATAGTTAAGAATTCCTTGTAAAAGAGGCAATTGTTTCATGGACTCCGACCCTCAAAACATCAGCAGAGAGCACTATTGCAGGAGAGCATTTATGAAGCCATGAGTCCTCCAGGCTCTGATTTCAAAGATTTCCCCAGAGCTCCCCTGAATTCTCACAGTTCTCTATCCTCTGAATAGAGAGAAGAAATGCACTTGTACATTAAATGCATTCTATTCTTTCTTAAACAGCAATACTATGAGGTGCCAATAACAATGAAGTCTGTGTTTGATCTGATCGATACTTTCCAGTCCCGAATCAAAGATATGGAGAAGCAGAAGAAGGAGGGCATTGTTTGCAAGGAGGACAAAAAGCAGTCCCTGGAGAATTTCCTATCCAGGTACATCGCCTTTGCAGTCGCTAAAGAGGAAGGTGCAAATGTGTTCGGAGCGAGCTCATGGAAATGCCAAAGAAACACAGAAACACAGAGCCCACGTGTGTTTACAGAGTAACCTTGCAGTAGTCTGGCCACTGGGCTTAGTCTTGCCCTGTTGAAACGGCTCTGGTTGCAAGGCTGGCTGGGTTCAGCTCCAAACATCAGTATGGATTTGGTGGCTCTGGATAGGTCTTTTCTCTCTTTTCTGTTCTTTTGCTGGTACAGAGAATAAAATTCTGACCTTCCAAGGAGGTTAATTTACTCAGTCAGTAAATCTGGAGAGCTCTGCATGTAGTATATTTATTTTACTTATTTATTTATTAGGCCCCTCTGGTTCCAAACAGGATTTGGCACACTGTGCTTGATTTTCCGCTTCCTTCCAGCTCTGCAGGAAGCAACAAAAGCCCCACTAAGACCTCAAAAGGAGAAATCCTCTTGACCCAGTTTCATGATTTTTTCCGACAGTGTCATTTATTGAAGGCTGTCTTCTTGCAACCCCGGTGTCCACGGGGGAGGAGCATAGCCAGAGAAGAGCATATAAACAACTCAATCTGTTACAGGACAGGGGTCCCAGTCCAGACCCCAATAGAGGGTTCTTGGATCTTGCACAAGAAATAATTCAGGGCAAATCCACAGTGCAAAGTGAAAGCAAGTTTATTAAGAAAGTAAAGGAATAAAAGAATAGCTACTCCATAGACAGAGCAGCGCCGAGGGCTGCTTGTTGCCCATTTTTATGGTTATTTTTTGACGAGACGCTAAACGAGGGGCGGATTACACATGGCTCTCCTTTATAGACCATATACGGTGACTTCCTGATGTTGCCATGGCATTTGTAAACTGCCATGGTGCTGGTGGGAGTGTAGCAGTGAGGATGACCAGAAATCACTCTCATCGCCATTTTTATTTAGGTGGTTTTTGGCTGGCCCCTTTATTGTGAGCTGTTTTATCTGCATGGTCTCTATGACCTGTATTTTGTGCTGACCTCCTGTCTCATCCTGTAACTTAGAATGCCTTAACCGTCTGGGAATGCAACCCAGTAGATTTTAGCCTAATTTTACCCAGCTCCTATTTAAGATGGAGTTGCTTTGGTTTAAATACCTCTGATAAATCCATTCTTCTCCCTTCTCCTCCCCTCCCGCAATGTAGGATGAACCTTCTGCAGAGACTCTCAGGCCCTAGGAAGCGTAAAGCTACAGAAATCCACACACAACAAACTCACAGAGGTCTCAGTGTAAACACCATTCGAACTCTACTGTGTGGTTAGGGACTCCAGAAACCTAGCAAGCACATAATGCACATTTAGTGCCTGAGCCTCCAAGCAGAATCTTTACTCACGTTTCTAAAAGCACATTCTCTATATGTGAGTCACAACATTAAGAGAGATATGATTACTAAGTCGGTAATGTGAATTTCTACAGATTCATGAGGCTTGGGTCTTTTAAGATGTAATATCATGATATATAAAGAGTGTGGAATTTACCATTAGTCCAACTTTTAAGTCTGCAAGTTACTAGCTATGTTGACCCTATTCTTTTCAATTAACCTGCCTGAAAAATCTCTCGCCCATAAAATAAAAATAACGATGCCAGGAGCTCTCTTCATCCGTCTCCATTTAACATTGCCATTACACCTGTCATCACTTTTTGTGTGCTAATCTCTGTGCCAAGCACTTCACCTTCATGCTCCTTTTGAAAATATAATGTGAATTATTATTAGTTCTGAACCTAAAGGACTAGCATTTGAAGCAAAGGAAGGTTCTCTTAAAACCACAGAATTTTGGATCTGAAAGGAACCTGGGGCTCTTCCTCCATCCAAATTCTCAATGCAGTACAAGTATCCGAAATGGAAATAGAAGGCACACACTTCCATAAGGACTTAAAACTCAATTCAGCCTTGGGACCACCCTCCACTGAGAAAGGGCTCTGAGCTTCACTGAACAATGGCTTATCTTGGGGGGCACTAAAACACCAACTTCTCATCATCACTCTAGATGACAGTAATTGAAAAGAGTTATGATAGCTGCGTGCAGTTGCTGACACCTGTAATCCCAGCACTTTAGAAGGCCGAGGTGGGCAGATCATGAGGTCAAGAGATGGAGGCCATCCTGGCCAACATGGTGAAATCCCACCTCTATTAAAAATACAAAACTTAGCTGGATGTGGTGGCACACACCTGTACTCCTAGCTACTTGGGAGGCTGAGGCAGGAGAATCACTTGAACCTGGAAGGTGGAGGTTGCAGTGAGCTGAGATCACGCCACTGCACTCCAGCCTGGTGACAGAGTGAGACTCTGTCTCAAAATAAAAAAAAAAAAAAGGAAAAGAAAGAAAGAAACAAATGATTTACACTAAGAGCTTTTGTTAAATTCTTTCTTTTTTTTTTTTTTTTAATTTTTTATTGGATTTTAGGTTTTGGGGTACATGAGCAGAGCATGTAAGACAGTTGCGTAGGAACACACATGGCAGTGTGCTTTTCTTTCCTTCTCCCCTTCACCCACATTTGGCACTTCTCCCCAGGCTATCCCTCCCCACCTCCCCTCCCACTGGCCCTCCCCTTTTCCCCCCAATAGACCCTAGTGTTTAGTACTCCCCTTTCTGTGTCCATGTGTTCTCATTTTTCATCACCCACCTATGAGTGAGAATATGCGGTGTTTCATTTTCTGTTCTTGTGTCAGTTTGCTGAGGATGACGTTCTCCAGATTCATCCATGTCCCTACAAACGACACGAACTCATCATTTCTGATTGCTGCATAATATTCCATGGTGTATATGTGCCACATTTTTCCAATCCAGTCTATTATCAATGGGCATTTGGGTTGATTCCAGGTCTTTGCTATTGTAAACAGTGCTGCAATGAACATTCGTGTACATGTGTCCTTATAGTAGAACGATTTATAGTCTTTTGGATATATACCCAGTAATGGGATTGCTGGGTCAAATGGAATGTCTATTTCTAAGGCCTTGAGGAATCGCCACACTGTCTTCCACAATGGTTGAACTAATTTACACTCCCACCAACAGTGTAAAAGTGTTCCTCTTTCTCCACATCCTCTCCAGCATCTGTTGTCTCCAGATTTTTTAATGATCGCCATTCTAACTGGCGTGAGATGGTATCTCAATGTGGTTTTGATTTGCATCTCTCTGATGACCAGTGACGATGAGCATTTTTTCATATGATTGTTGGCCTCATATATGTCTTCTTTCGTAAAGTGTCTGTTCATAGCCTTTGCCCACTTTTGAATGGGCTTGTTTGTTTTTTTTCCTGTAAATCCATTTGAGTTCTTTGTAAATTCTGGATATCAGCCCTTTGTCAGATGGGTAAACTGCAAAAATTTTTTCCCATTCTGTTGGTTGCCGATTCACTCTAGTGACTGTTTCTTTTGCTGTGCAGAAGCTGTGGAGTTTGATTAGGTCCCATTTGTCTATTTTGGCTTTTGTTGCCAATGCTTTTGGTGTTTTGTTCATAAAGTCCTTGCCTACTCCTATGTCCTGGATAGTTTTGCCTAGATTTCCTTCTAGGGTTTTTATGGTGCCAGGTCTTATGTTTAAGTCTTTAATCCATCTGGAGTTAATTTTAGTGTAAGGTGTCAGGAAGGGGTCCAGTTTCTGCTTTCTGCACATGGCTAGCCAGTTTTCCCAACACCATTTGTTAAACAGGGAATCCTTTCCCCCTTGCTTGTTTTTGTCAGGTTTATCAAAGATTGTATAGTTGTAGATATGTTGTGTTACCTCCGGTGCCTCTGTTTTGTTCCATTGGTCTATATCTCTGTTTTGGTACCAGTACCATGCTGTTTTGATTACTGTAGCCTTGTAGTATAGTTTGAAATCCGGTAGTGTGATGCCCCCCACTGTGTTCTTTTTGCTTAGAATTGACTTGGCTATGTGGGCTCTCTTTTGGTTCCATATGAAGTTCATGGTGGTTTTTTCCAGTTCTGTGAAGAAAGTCAATGGTAGCTTGATGGGGATAGCGTTGATTCTGTAAATTACTTTGGGCAGTATAGCCATTTTCACGATATTAATTCTTCCTAACCATGAACATGGAATGTTTCTCCATCTGTTTGTGTCCTCTCTGATTTCGTTGAGCAGTGGTTTGTAGTTTTCCCTGAAGAGGTCCCTTACGTTCCTTGTGAGTTGTATTCCAAGGTATTTTATTCTTTTTGTAGCAATTGCGAATGGCAGTTCGTTCTTGATTTGGCTTTCTTTAAGTCTGTTATTGGTGTAGACGAATGCTTGTGATTTTTGCACATTGATTTTATATCCTGAGACTTTGCTGAAGTTGCTTATCAGTTTCAGGAGTTTTTGGGCTGAGGCAATGGGGTCTTCTAGGTATACTATCATGTCGTCTGCAAATAGAGACAATTTGGCCTCCACCTTTCCTATTTGAATACCCTTTATTTCTTTTTCTTGCCTGATTGCTCTGGCTAGAACTTCCAGAACTATATTGAATAGGAGTGGTGAAAGAGGGCATCCTTGTCTAGTGCCAGATTTCAAAGGGAATGCTTCCAGTTTTTGCCCATTCAGTATGATATTGGCTGTTGGTTTGTCATAAATAGCTTTTATTACTTTGAGATACGTTCCATCGATACCGAGTTTATTGAGGGTTTTTAGCATAAAGGGCTGTTGAATTTTGTCAAATGCCTTCTCTGCATTAATTGAGATAATCATGTGGTTTTTGTTTTTGGTTCTGTTTATGTGGTGAATTACGTTGATAGACTTGCGTATGTTGAACCAGCCTTGCATCCCCGGGATCAATCCTACTTGATCATGGTGAATAAGTTTTTTGATTTGCTGTTGCATTCGGCTTGCCAATATTTTATTGAAGATTTTTGCATCTATGTTCATCATGGATATTGGCCTGAAGTTTTCTTTTCTTGTTGGGTCTCTGCCGGGTTTTGGTATCAGGATGATGTTGGTCTCGTAAAATGATTTGGGAAGTATTCCCTCTTTTTGGATTGTTTGAAATAGT